AGACAGAACAACACTAGTTGCACAGCATTTCGAGGCAGGTTCCTATCTGGTGCATGAGGTGTAGGTAGACCAGCTCAATCAAAAGTCCAGCTCGTAATTATCTAAATGGATAATTTCTCATAATTTTATTTAAATATGTAAGCTATTTCTTTGATGTACGAAGACCGTTTACACCATATGACAACCTCTTCCCAGTTTATATTAATATAAACATTTTTTTATTTCTTTCTCTCTCATCACTAATTCTCTCTCTTCTTCTTGCTGTCTCACTCTGCAGAATTTTTTTTCTGTGCAGGCAAAAACCTCACCGAAGAAGAAACATCAACAAAATTCAAAACCCAAAAAAAATCCCATCGAAATTAAACTTGCACTGAGAAAACTTCTCTTGCCATTTCCATGGAGTCGCTTTCTAGACCTCCGCACAGAAGAAAACACTCCACCTCCACAGCAAATGCCTTCTCGTCCTTTTCCTCGAAAAACCCTTATGATGATGTTCTGTTGTCGAGCGGCGGCGGAGGGCCGGGTTCGGTGGGAACGAAGCTTGGAGTTCAGGACTACGCTGAGATTTTCTCCGGCTCGCAGCGCGGGTCGTCCATTCCGGTTCTCGATCTTTCCGGCCTGGAAGAAAGTGCCGGGTGGGGTGATTTTCGGAGCTCCAAGCTTGATTACTCCAATATTTTTAGTGGCTTTAGGGATGAGGATGTAGCTATACCGTACGAACAATTGTTTGCTGGAGCAAAAACAAGAAAAACCTCTTCTGATAAACCAAGGTGATTTTTTAAAATTTTTTTTTTTGGTTTGCTAAATCTGGATAGACTTTTTATTATTTATTTATGTAGTGATTGAAAATGTGATTTTGAGTTTCATTCTTGTTGCTGTTGTTGATTATACATATATTTTGTAATATTTTTCCGGGTTATGGTGATGAATTTCTGCGGTTTTGTTTGATTTGCTAAGAATTGCATAGTCAGAAATGAAAAAAAAAAAAATCCAACTTTTGTTGCTTAGTCAATTTCTTTGGAAAATAATATAGGTTTCAGTTTGATTCTGGCATTTTCTCCCGGATGCATATGCAATTGTTTTAATCTTTCTCAAAGTTCCTTTTAGGAAAGAATAGCCCTCTTAGCAAAAATTACCAATTGGTTACTGCTTGATCACTTTAGTAACTTTTGGGCTGATATTGGCAATCATAATTCCATTTCAGTTTATGATTCCTGGAAGACCACAGCTAAATTTATGCTTGATTTTGCTTACGCCTTCTGGCCCTCTTATTTGGTCAATGAGTTTATGATCCATTTCGCACGCAAGGGCATATTTAATTTTTTGCGAATTTCCTTTTTCCTGGCAAGAATGGATTTCTTTAATCTGTAGTATTTAAACGTTTATTTTGCTTATTCAATCATTTCTGTACTTTTACGAATTGAGTTAATTAAAGTTTTTCTTTAATTGACAGTTGTACACTGTCTTAGAGTTGTGCCATTGATAGCACAGCTGGACAAAGATTTTGTCGTTACTTTGTTTGCCGCCTGATTCAAATTATTGATACGTGGCATTGACTTCGAAAATGATTTATGCTTTGAGTTGTTGCATTTTCCAAGGAAAATGCCACATGATCGAGCTTTGTTTAGTTCCTCATGCTGCTTGCTTAATTTCTTGTTAATTGGGCAGGCTGTTTGTCCTGTCTCATGAAATGAGTGGCTTCTCTTGTTTCGTAAAATGATAAACAGTCCTCTTTTGTTGTCTGTTCTTAAATATCAAAGGCCTAGTATGATCACATATAACGGTTATGAACTTTTTGGCCGGTTTATTATATTTTGGTTGCATAATCTTAAATATGTTTTTGTTCTGGTGACACAAGTGGATTGAGCTGTTAGTGTCAGACTATTGTCCAACAAAGATTCTTTGGAATCTGAAGTCTTCTATTACACAATGAAATCTTCTCAACTATGCGCTATGGAACTTTGAATTATCTTATGTCTGTTTATGATATTTAATTATTTATGAAACTTGGGGTTTCTCATTTTAGTCAAAAAAATATGCCAGAACATTTTCTATTCAATAAGTGTGATTCGTTTTCGACCAAAACTGACATTTTCTTATTGATATATATATCTTCCAGGAATTTTTGCACACATTTCCATTTTTTCTAAACCTGCCTTTTCAGATTCCATCCTATTCTTCCCACACGCACACACAAAGGGGGTGTGTGCACGTGTGTGGTGTGACTTAGATTAAGATTTTATATTCGTTTTTAAATTATTCTGATTTCTTGCATGTGCAACATTCATATATTGTAACTTTCATCACGTATATAACATGTGATGTCATAACTTAAATGATGTAATTTTTTAGATTAAAATTGTTTCTTTTAGTAGCCACGTGTTCCTGATTTAAAATCAATCTTTTTGGCATGGAGGAATTTAAATGTTGTTTTGAATCTTCTATTGTGTTTTGCTCAGGACTCCAGCAAATAAAGGATCTCCTCTACGAGAGTCAGATCGTCTAAATTCTTCTGGAAAGAACAAAGGGTTCCCAGTTGAGGCACTCGATCAATCTATTGATGGCACAAAGCAGCAGTTTAACCTGTCATTCAATAAGTCCGGGCAACGAAGTAGTGATGGGTCAAATGGGAAAATGCATGTAGCAGAACTCCATGCTGTTCCTGGATTTACTTCTTTTGTTGATGGAACTGCTCATCTGCATAAGACAGAAGGCAATAGGCCTGTACCTTCACTGAAACGTGAAGTTAGTCGTGCCTGGAGTTTCAGTGCTGAAGTTGAGCAAAATCATGGCAGGAGGTCTGAGGCACACATCTCTAATAATCAAATTTCTGACAGTGCTGTCAAAGGTAAAGTTGAATCAAGTTTGGATGAATCGCATGTCACTGATAAACCGCTTAACAAAGTGAAAATTAATTTCAAATCACACGATTCTAAAGTCTCTCCACCTTCAAGTTTTCAACCGAATCTAAATGAGCAGAAGAATCTAAATGAGCAGAAGGTCCCCAGGCAAACAAGGTCATCAAGTTTTGGCTCTAAAGCTGATGCTTCAGAAAAGATTGATGGCGACTCTTCACCACCGTTTTTTGATGAGGAACTGGATGTTAATTCAGTTGCTGCACAATCTGCAGCAGCGTTAAAGAAAGCAATTGAGCAGGCTCAAGAAAGTATAAGAATTGCTAAAGAGATAATGAAGAGGAGAAGCGAATGCTTTCGAGAAGGTTCTAAACCAAGTCCTAGGGGTCGCTTGAAAGTTAAGAAGGATAAGAAGGAAAAAAGAATTGTTCTTGAGGCAAACATTTCAAAAGAGAACAATGCTCCTACAAAAACATATGAAAGCCTGGATCCTGTATTGCCGGCATTTGAGGTAGACAGGAAATTTGCTCCATCCGCTGGACATAAAGAGCCAATTTTAAATTCTGGTAAGATTGAGGACAAAAAGGTTCAGGAAAATGTTGAAGCAGCTGAAGAATATTCTGACGCAAGAAGTTCACCTGGGTTGGAAACCAATGAAGAGAGTAAAAGAGTGACTTTGGGTTCTGTACAGGTGAACAGTAGCAATAACTCTCTGCATTCTATGAATAAACTTGTATCTGAGATAGAAACAGTTGAAGAAATTTTGGACCAGACTGAGGTATTTTTTGATCTTACGGAAGGACCAGCAAATGTTGACGAGCTAGGGGATTCGAGCAGAGTTCTTGATGCTTCGCAAAGGGTGCCTGAACTGGAGGAGATTGTGGGTGAAGCTGGTGAACATTTGATAATCAGCAAGGATAATGTTTGGATAGAGGAGAAACGAAATATTTTTGACGAAAATGGGAAGGGTACTGAGAAATTTGATGGGCATCAGGAAATTGTTAATGGGGAACAGCCTAAGTTGCAGAACTTGGTGTTTGACCATCCACTAAATGAAGCACAGAATCTGCCCGAGAAGGAAAAGGAACAAGAAGAATCTCTGAGACAAGAACAAATGGAAAAGAAAGTGGGTAGTGTTTCGAACTGGAAAGAAAAATACCACCTACCTGGAAAGAGTTATGACGAAGAAGAAATTGCTTTAAGGAAGGAAGACCCTGATTCATGGTTTGAAACTGAAGAGAAGTCAAAAGAGGCCCTGGAGAAAGAAATCGAAGAGAGGGAGCAGAAAGTCTTCCAAGAGGCAGGAGCAGTTGAAAAGAGGTTAGGTGGAGATAATGAACCAGAAACTGATGAGAAGAAACTGAACTGTGCTCATGATGGTGATGAGCTAGAGATACCAGGAGAACTTGAGTGTGAAGTAATTGGAGAGAGACAAGCAGAGACTTCTGAATATGAAGCAACTGAGATGAGGCAGATGAATGAAAATAAATATGCTGAAGATCAGAAAATTGCAGCCTCTCTGGAGGCTGAAGAAACGAACAGCACACCAAGTGGAACTGGCAAAAGTGAGGATGATAAAGATATATGTGACTTTCAGGAGGCTATTCTTGAGAAGGATTTTGATACCTCTGTTGATGCATATGGTAGTGGTTCGAGCACCAGAGTCACTCAGATTCAGGAAGCCTGCACTGTTGAATTAAATGATAACAGTGTAGATGAAAATCAACAAGCAGTTGAAAGTGATAAAGAGAAAGGCAGCACAATGAGAGTAACTGAAACATCTTCTGCAATTGAAAAGAACGAGAAAAAAGAACCAGTTGAAGAAACATTCCAACAGGAGGACAATGAAATGCTCAAGACAGCTTCCTTGCTTCGAAGTGCCTCTGAAATGAATTTTGTCGGTAGCAAACTGCACAATGCCTTTGAAGCTCTTTCTTCTGATGGCATTACTGAAAATTCCAGTGACACAGATGCAAGCCATGAAGAAAAGCTGCCAAAGGATGAGGATGCTTTCAGAACATCTGACCAAATCCATAATGCAGCTCGAGAGGAGAATGCTAATGAAAACGACATGCAAGATTTCAGTGAGTTCCATGCTTCTGGTAAAAAAACAACAGACCTTGATCTCATAGATGTAAAAGTTG